TGAATCGAATCGTTACCTGGTGAATCGTAATCAAATCGAATCGTGAGGGCAGTGCCAATGCCCTATTAAATAGGGTTGCGTTTGCAGGCTGAATTGCGGCTCCTTTACCCCCAAACATATACTTTTAATGAGCAATAAGCGAAGTTTATCTACTAGATGGGATGTTGACCAAGTCTGTAGACCAAGAGAAGAAGTGTAAGGAGCGACACCTCTCTCTAAAGGCTGGTTTATACTCAGAAATAAGGTCGTCTCTGTGTGTGTCGCAGTGAACGCAGATATTCCCCCACCCCTTCCGCAGACCCTCTGCTGCTCCTCTTCAAAATCATAGGTGACCGCAGACTTTGCCGCAGACAGAAGGCCTCTGATTGGTCAAATATACATCTGCTCTACATATGCGTATTTCCTGTTTGGTGCCTCACCGGCTTGTTTTGTTTTTATGATTGTGGAAAACGACTCGTGAAGATGGACCAGCTAGAAGAGCAAGATACGCGAGAATGCTGGGATTCCACCTGGGTCCCCGCTCTTTTTTCGCCCTCCGGTGAATTTTAAGGAATTATTGTGTATTGCTTCATGAATAGGTAAACAAATAAATGACTCATATTAAAGGCTTATATGGTGATTTAATCTTTAGCCATATTGCAAAGCCTGCTTCACCGTTGATCCTTTATCTTTTTTATCTTAATGTTCCCTCAGCAGCACCAAATATTCCCGAGAAACCGGCTTGTATTTCCACTTCTACTTCCACCTCTATTACATACAAACAAACAGTTGTGGAAACAATAAAGAAAAATTCTCTCTTATGCGCTGGAGCCTGGTGTCGGCACACTAAATCACGGTGAGCGTTGGGAGGATGACGGTTTAAGGACTCCTCTGGAAACATAAACTAAAGCCGTGCAATACGACCGAGCTGCAGGAGCTTCTCTATAGGAAATTAATCATCAAGATGCACAGTGCTGCTGCTTTTAAATAACCATAGGATGATTTCCAGTTTGTCTTTATTCTAGTGTGGCAGCTTGTTTTGCAGCCGGACAAAAATTGATTCAATTTAGCTGCCTGTATTTTATTATCCACACACTGCTTAGTCCGGAAGCACCAGTCTCCTTATGCTACCAAACAGAGCTTTTACCTTACAGTTAAAGTTCAGCTGAAGGAGGGACCCTGTGTAATGAGGAGACGCTGCTAATAATGGTATTGTCAGTATTTTTCTGTAAACTACTTAAAACTGGAGTGAGCATTGATCCACTGCACATACTCCTCTCACAATTGGGTTCAGTGTATGTAGTGTTTTCTACAGCAGTCCCATTAAAACAAGTGCCATGAAATTGAATAGCTTTTTTTATGAGCTAAGCAGGCCTAATGCCAGGCTTCTAGCGATCAACAGCATCATTCCTCATCATTTCCTTCCACCAAAAGCCTCTTAAACATCTGTCAAACACAATGTTTGAATACGCAGTCATGTTCTGTCGTTCATAAAGTCAGCGCTGTTTGTTAAATCTGCTGCACTGATATTAATACACTTTTTTTCTCCCTCTTTTTATTTGAGTGTCTCTATTAACGCCCTTTTCTCCTGTTTTTTTTTATTTTTTTTCCATCTGCCTGAGCATCAAAACAGCCTTTTGATCAAGCTTTTATCACATTTTAGAAAAAGGGCAGAATTAATTTTTTGCTAAATTATAATTATAACCCAGGCTAATGCATGGAGCCAGTAATTCTAAGCTTTTATCTGTCAGTAGTCAGAAGCTGAGATCTGAATATGTGAATATTTTGGATCAGAATGGCTTTTATAAGATTTGGCATTTGGTATGTTTTGGCCTAAATGCAAAACTAATTAGATACCCAAATGTAGTGTCTGTTCAGTGCCTATATAGAGCCACAGAGATCTTCGTCTGTCTTAAAGAGGACTTGTCTCTTAAATTTTTCTAGCCATCTCTCAATACACAAGAACACGAGTACGGGCTTGTGTCGTCGCCAAGTATGTTCTTGAGAAGAACACAGGAAAGTCTGGACTTGGGGAGAACGGGAGCACGCAGCATAAAAATGGGTCAATTAGAGCAGAAGTGTACTCGTGACATCACCACACGCTCAGCTAGTCTGGAGCTGCATTTTACCTCCTGTTATTAATAGTCTCTAAATAATCATAAATTCTTACTTTTTTATTTATTTAATGGGGGAATAATAATGAACACAGTCAGATAACACAAACACAAATCAAATAAACATTTTGCATAATAACACAAACTCTCCATCATAGCCAGCGGTCCTTCATACACGGCTATGCTGAGAGAGGGCTGCTGCAGACGGGCTGCGGTTAGATCTGGCTACCGTTACCCTCAGTTGTCCACTGGTTGCCGTGGTCCACCCAACATTGGAAAACTTTTTTTTTTAAATTACACATTAAATCGGTAAATGGGCCATATAGTGACGCTATATATATATTATTATATATATTATATAATATTCTTGCCTCAAATGATCTTAAAACATACTTTTATTGAACAACAGCAACAGAAAAGAGAACTTTTAACTTACCATAATACTCTGTGAGCGCTCCATTGAAAGCTGCTGCTGCCGCAGTGCATGCTGGGACAGCTGTCAATCTCAAGAACGGAAGTCTGCTCTGATGCATGCTGGGTAAAGAGGGAGGGGCGAGAACAACATCTGGGGACTTTGTCTGTTCTCTGTCTGCAGTTCTTGTGATTTGGAACAGTACTAGGGCTGAGGATGATGACGTTTCACGAGTACACGAGAAAGCACAAGTACGCTTATTCATAAAAGACCTTTGTTTTGTTTTTTCCCTGACAGGAACTTTGAATCTCTTAGAGTATTTTTCTGTAGCAGAAAAGCTGTAATCATGTTAAATTCATCAAAGCCAATAAAGTGAGACTTTATTGGGCAAATAAACGTTTATCAATGTGGCGGCTGTCTAAAGATTTTCAATTAGGAAAGTATGTTTCACACATTTTTTTAAATGTGAAGATTTTCCACCTTCGTTTTTTTTTCTATCTTTGTAAAATGAGTGACCTTTCCTTCCTGATCTACCACTTGAACCAATATAACTTTTGACCTTTCTAGATTTTTGGAAAGTGTGATGAGAAACTATTTTACCATCTTAAAATAAAAAAGAAGTAAATGATACATCAGGGGCAGCCTTCTGTGAATTCTTTAAAATCCATTGACATTTATTGCCTTCCTATGTTTGGGTAGTACCTATTTCGCACAAAAAATACAGTCCAAAATAAATGTCTCAGAAATTGAAAAATCCCCTCTTAAACTCTGCAAAGAAAACCAAAAAAAAAAAAAAAAACCCTCAGAATCTTAATGTCCACTTCGGAGGAGAAATAAAAGCAGACATAAATGGATGAAATTAGACGCAGGACCCTTCATGTCCTCAGTGACCCTCTAAAGCTTTGCCCTAACTACTGGGTGTTGCGGTGCTGCTTTGGGCTGGCATGACTTCAGAGACCTGAGAAGCAGTGGTCACCACAGTTGGCTTTTTTGGAGTGACCAGAATATAACTGGTCTAGGTAGAATACAGTAACAGTTCTGCATTGTAGAAGCGAGGCTGTGGATGTTTTGAAAGCTTTAGGATATTATTTTGATCAGTTGACTGTTTGTCAAATATGTGCTTTGGAGGATAATTTGGTTTTATAAAGTTGATCGCAATGACCCACCGGGGCCAAAATCTTTCAGACAGAGGAGATCAAAGTGAGTTTCCTCTTGCTAATAATCAAATTAAGTGCATGGATAAAAGAATAATGCTATCGGTCAACAAGCAGGGTGTTGGAGGACTGATGATTGGGGTTTGGACTGCAGCTGTATACCTTGCATACTACTGTGAATTCCTTCTCTATACCAAAGTGTTTTG